TCAACCCCATATAAAAAGCGTCCCACTTTCAATGTCGGCGGGATCTATGTCGGGTCTAGAACCGACATAAAAAGTCAATTTTAACCGACATAAAAAGTGTTTTTTCCACTAGTGTTTTCTTAGTTGGCGGTTAGAAGTAATATAAGCGTGCACCATAGTCGGTGTGGTTCAAGAAAACGTATGGAAACTCACGCGCCGCTTTCTACTTCCACCGCCGGAGGTGGTGTGAGATTTGAGAACATGTATGGCGGATACCCGGTCGTCTTCTTAGACCATTTGTAGTGGTCAAGAGTCCAAATAGTTAAATTTGGACTCCGTCTATTTGAAAACAGTGTTTAGACTCTGTCAATACTGTTTTTTCCTGCATCCGTGCACCGTCAATAAAATACACTCTGCATATTTTTTACATATGAATTTAGTAAAATATTAATTAAATTATTATAAGTAATGTTTTACTTTTAATTTTTTTTCCCTGAATAATTATGAAATAAAAAATACACATTTTGATGTAAAAATAAATAATTTTCATAATTTTTTTAACATTTTTCTGTTAAAAAAATGAATTTGTTTAAGTGAAGTTTGATTATAGAATATTCAATTATTTGTGAAGGTTTCATGAATTAAGAATTCGTGTTTCATTTTTTTAGCTCAATAAACTGTAACAGTTAAAATTTCAAAATAAAATCATTTTATATATCACATATGGATGTCATATGAAAGATCATAAAAATTTATGAATTTTGATATATTTTTTGAAAAAATTAAATGACAAATAAAAAAGTTATATAAGTTTAAAAAAATTGGGATATAATGATGCAAGGGTGACGCCATCATGACATCATCCTCACCAAAAGTAAACATGCGGCCGTGACTTACTTTTTCTTTTATCTTTATTTTTTCTTTTTCGACTCCTCTAAATCACTCTCTATATTTAACACTCTTCATCTCCTTTCCCACTTTTAATACCCCATATAAACCACCACTACACACAATTAGGAGTCCAAAAATTCCACATTTAACATTTTGGACTCCCAATAACTCACCACTACAAATGGTCTTAGAAGAAGAGTGAAAAGGAAGATGAGCATGTTGGTCTTTGTCGTTGCTCGTCCTTCTACCAACTGTTGTTCCGTTTTCACTCCAGATGCAAAACAAGAAGATGAACAACATGCAGTGCTATTCGTCGTTGTTCACGTTCGTTTTTATTTTTAATTGCAGTTTCTTTTGTTTTTACCGAATGAAGAGGTCACGGTTAACATGGATCAATTTGAGAAGACGGTCAATCAATTTAGGATTATATTAGAATTTTCAATATTTGGGCTTAATAAGAGAAGACGGCTAATAGTTCGAATTATTCATGTGAATTTTTAATAAAATACACAGATTATTAAACTTAGCTGACGAACACACACATAGGAAAGTAAAAACTTATTGCCTCAATAAAACAAATCGTTGCAATTAAATCATCATTAAGGTATATCATGGAAGCACAAGTCCCCAAGTATCAATGAAATGATGAAGATGCAATTAAGATGTTTTAATTGGATTGGTTGTCAGACTTCATTTGTTGTTAAATACACATAAAACAAACATCTATCGATTCAGACTCGACTTAAACATACGAAATCTAATCGGAGAATTTTAGTCCAATTAAAAACATTTTTAACACATAATTACTACACATTTACCACAAAATTACCAAACAATACCCAAATCAAAATTACGCTAAACGAGTTAATAAACACTTCAATAGGAAAGAGGTAATCATATATGCACCTAACAACACACACTTAAACTGAGTGGACGCATTTATGCCCTCTCCTAGTTTTTAAATACTTCTGTCAAAATCAATGTCCCAATTCCTGTTTTCTGTAGTGAAAGAGAACATTTTCGCCATTGATTATGGTTCCCTATCACACACGTACGTACTACAAATAGGTCACGCATAAATTCACCAAATAAACGGATATGCATAGAAGTATGAAACTTCATGGATACACCATAGAAGCAGCTGGCCAGATGCTTCCTCCAATTGGTAAAGAGCATAAAAAACCAGGGAACCTTCCTTTCATCTTCTTCTTCTTCTCTGAAGCCACAGAATAGTATTCCCATTTCTGATTTCCCACTCAAAAAATCTTCACTTTCCTCTCCACCTTCGTCTTTATTCTCCAATCACACCACCCAATCTCTCTATATAATGAAATCCTCTCCTTTTCTCGGATACCCAATTCAACAACACATCTAATTATTGGTATATCTATCATATCTGTTTCTCCGGCCGGCAAAACCAGAACTTCAAGAATCATCAGAGATGGATTCGGGCTATCTGAACCGGGCAATTTCAATCCAAAAGACAAAGTTACGACCTTTTGCTTCTGCTCCGCTTCTCATGCCCATCAATGGGTTCATAGGCCCGGTCATCGTTCTGTACATAATAATCTTTGAATGGGTCAGAAATACCATCAGCAGCTTACTTTTAACTCCATCTCCGCCGCCAGACTCAAAACCGGCGGAGTCGCCGGCGCATCCGAAGGTAATGGCCAGAGAAGAAGTAGAAACGGTACTGGAAAGGCTTGGGCTTTTTCTCCGCCCTGCTGAAAGCGAGAAACTTCAGGAGCGGATTTGCTCAAAAGAGTTCTCTGAGATTCTTGGCGAGGAGGCGGCGGAGGAAGAGGAGGAAGGAGGGGGGTTTTATGTGGATGATGATGAGGTGCAGGCTGCATTTGATGTATTTGACGAAAACAGAGATGGGTTTATCGACGAAAAGGAGTTGCAGAGAGTTCTGTGTGCGCTGGGCATGGATGCGATCAAAGAAATGTATGAACAAGAAGGTTTGGAGTTGGAGAATTGCAGGAGAATGATCAGGAAGTTCGATGAAAATGGAGATGGGAGGATCGATTTAAACGAATTCTCTAAGCTCATTTTTAATTAATTAGATCATGAGGCTGAGCAGCTAGCTTCTCATATCGTTATCATTCTTATACAGTATATGCTAGGAAACTAGGAACTTAGGAAGTGTTCTTGATTTCTTTCTCAGTTTCTAATCTATTACGGGTATAACAATATTTTTACATTTGGTTTTTACCTTTCAACAACTTTTTATATCATTTCTAGATATGTGACTTTGTAATCATTAATAGCAATTTATATCAAAAAGTTATATTAGTGATGATAATCATTTTCAACTTAATTACATCTTTATCAAGAACTTTTATTTGAATAATATTTTAAGAAAAATCTTTAAAGCAGTTTTGCTCAACAAGAGTGCTAAATTTCTCATTAAATAGAAACAATTACTTTCATTTAATATTATCAAAATCAAATTATTTAAACTAAACAGAGCAAATCATTTAATACTCTATCATCAAAATTTATCATCACAATCAACTTTTGAGTAAACAACCCAATGAACATCATTGAGAATCATATTCATGTCAAGTACATGATAGAAATGACATAAAATGATGTTGTGATCCCAAATCAGTGATGGAAATACCTATGGAGGGTTTAGAGACTGCTGTCATGATACCCCTGAAAAAAGAAACATATCGAACATTCTGACATGATTGTGTTCACAATGGATAATATCACAACATTCACCGCCACCGATTGAATAGAGATTACCGTTATCACTCCCCCTTCTATCTCCATTGATAAAAGATCATAAGCCTGCTCCAAAGCTACCATCGAAGACCCCTACTATCATGCACACTTTTGCCTTTCTGAAGTCATCACCAAACTCAATTTGCTCGTGACTTCCTTTAATTTGATCGAAGTGGCCAAAGAGACGCCAACACTCATAATTATAGGACTCAGCTAGCTCTGTAGCAATATTGAGTTTATTGAGTTTTAAGACAATTGGAATCACATCTAAGAATACAAAAGTGACTTCAGTACGTGACCAATGTGAGCTTACAAAAGGACTTTTCATGTAGTTGATATGGTTGTTGACTTGTTGATGTTCTTTAAGACTCTTATTATGTACTTGTGGAGTTGCAAAGTAATAGAAGTTCTGCATCCCCAACCCAATATTTGACAAGTGAGACTACCCATATGGAACATACTTAAGTTTATTGGGTTTTCTTTAGAAATTTGGGTGTGAAAATTAGTATTGTTGTTGAAAATTTGAAATTGTTAACCAATGAATAGCGATTAGTTATTGAGGAACTAGGATTAATAGGTCAAAGTTGACATATCTGGCGATAACAAAAAAGATAATAGAAGGCCTTAAGAGACCTTTATAGTACTATCCTAGTACCATCGCGTCTCATAATATAAGTTACATGCGAGTTTTGCTTGATTTTTTAGAAAATAAAACTTAAAATGATTGTTATGCAAATTCAACCTCCAAAAGATAAGAAAAAGTAAAATAGTCCATAAAAAGTAAAAGGTGAATTAAATAGATAACTAGATAAAATAAGAACGTGAAAAAATAATGGATTTCAATTCAGGAAAATGTTTAGGGACTGTTTACTAACAGAGATATTTTCTAGTTTTCCATAAAACTGGAAAACTGAAAACAGAAAATGTGTTTACCAAAGAAAATTGCTGGAAAAATGCAGGATGATGGAGTGAAAGTCTACAAGAATACAAGCCGACGGTAGCCCAATGAAAGGAAACTTGGTCAAATGCCCGTGACCAATACTTGGTCCAAAACATTAGTACTTTAGTAGTCCAATATAGTATCCTGCCCAAGAAAGGAATCAGTGCCCAATTTTATCTAAAAATACCCAATCCAAATTCAAGGATCAAATTTACTCCTCTAGTCCACTTGTCTAGGCTAGGGGTGTAATGAGTCAAGCCGTTCGCAAGCCGTTCGTGGATCGCTCGGGAAAAGCTCGGCTCGAATTCGGCTCGGCTCGAATATTTAACAAGTTTCATTCAAGCCCATTTATTTTAGATTCGTGGCTCCCGAGCCTATTCGCAAGTCTTTGTATGTGTGTACACACATACTATCTATATTAACTCGTCCAAAGTCGAGCTCGAAGTCAAAATCTTAAATTTTTATCAAACTCAAGTACGTCTATTCAGGCTCCTGTGTCGGTGTCTGCTTAGTGCTTAGTGCTTAGTGCTTAGTGCCTACGACTCTACGAGAGGGAATGCGGACGACGGGGTGTTACTCCACACTGGTAGCCTTTTCATTGCAGTCGAATGCTTCAACTTCTATTCAATCTTCAACAATCAAGGAAGCAGCACATCAAGAGGGTTCATTTCCTTCTTCCCCATTTCAGTTCTTTCCTACCATATAATTGTCCGTTGTCCTCCTTTACAGTCCACGCTTCGCAGCAATCTTGTGCATCAGCTGCGAAACCAACCATCAATGAAGCAACTTCGATTAACTTTCATGGCATTGCAAAACATGTGATATCAATATGTTCACCTCTCCGTGACAGCAGCAAAGGCGAGACCTCGGTCAACTCTTATCTCAAAGAGTGCCTCCTTTCTCTTTCTTGTATTTCCCCAGAAACTGTTCGCAAATTCTGGAGAGTTCCTGTGTTACAACCTCAAGATGTTCTTCAAATTTTGCTGGGTTTTCAATGTGGTGGAGATAATTTTCAGCTTGAGGCTAAAAAGGTTGAATCTTTGTGGGGGATATTTAGGCGGGCTGGTGAGCAGAGTAAGGGTTTTGGGCATCTTCCTCAATCTTACAAGATCATGGCTTCATTGCTTGTCCGGGTTCAGCTGTTTGAGGAGGTTGAATGCTTGCTTTCGGTGGCTGGAACTAGGGGAATTCTCTTGGATGATCATGAAATTTTCAGTAATTTGATTCAAGGGTATGTGGGTGAGCTCCAATTAAAGAAGGCTGTTTCAAATTATGATAGAATGAGAATTCTAGGTTTATCCCCATCCTCTCTCTGCTATCAACACCTTCTCGAGTTCTTGGTTCAATTAAATGTGACACATTTGGCGCCTCAAATTTTTGCTGATGCTATAGAGCTCGGTCTGGGAAAGATAGTAGCAGAAGGGTCTATTTATGGGGGAGTTGTTCGGATGTTGTGTCTAGAAGGAAAAGTTCAGGATGCTAGAATTCTTGTTAAGAAAGTTCTAGCTCTTGGATTTAAGCCCACTGATATAGTTCTCAGTTCAATGGTCAATGCATACTGTGAGAAGAAGGATTATGATGATATACTTAGTTTCTTTGTTGAAGCAAGATGCATCCCCGATTTACATGTTGGCAACAAGATCATGCATTCTTTGTGTACATGTTATGGTTCAGATTTTGCCAATTCGTTCCGCCTGAAGCTCGAAGGACTAGGTTTTTGTTCCAATGAAATAACCTTTGGGATTTTGATTGGTTGGAGTTGCCGTGAAGGTAAAATGAAGGATGCCTTCATTTATTTTTCTGAGATTCTGTCAAGAAATCTGAAACCTCAAATATATTCATATGACGCTCTTTTGAGTGGGTTTTTCAAGAAGGGTATGTGGAAGCACTCTCAAGAAATTATCTATGAAATGAAGGATCGGGCAGAAGTGCTCCATCTGTCAACTTTCTTGGTTCTCTTAGCAGGATACTGTAAAGCTAGACTCTTTCATGAAGTCAAAGCAACAGTTTCCCAGATGGCAGATTGTGGTTTCATCCAACCAATATCTCTAGAAGACCCACTTAGCAAAGCTTTTACACTGCTGGGACTTGCTCCTTCTGATGTGAAGATAAGAAGAGACAGTGAGTTTGGATATTCCAAGGCAGAATTTTTCGATAACCTTGGGAATGGACTTTTTCTGGATACAGATATCGGAAAGTATGAGACTACTATGACTGAAGTACTTGATAATGCCATGCTTCCAGATTTCAAGTCCCAAATATTGAAGAGTATTGGGAGCAATAAAGACATTAAAGAAGCTATTGTAACCGTATACCGTATGGGTAAGTGGGGTCAAATGGTGTCCCTGCCTTTGTTCACAACATTAGTCAAAGGGATTTGTGAATGCCGTGGCAGTATGAAAACAGTTGTCCATTGGTCAGAGGAAAACCCTATCTTTAACTATCATCAGCTTGATCATGAAACGTTAAATACACTTGCTCAAGCTTTTGGTAAAAAAGGCTTCATGCGCAGGGCTCGAATAATTGTTAAGGGATTGATGATGAGGCATCAAAGTGTTGAGAATAAAACACATACTGTCCTGTTAATTGGGCTATGCAAGAAAGGCGACCGGCGAGCTCTAGCTAACTACTGGCAGCTTGCACAAAGATATAACTGGTATCCTGGTTTGAAGGATGGCAAAACTCTTCTCAGCTGCCTATGCCGACAAGGATTTCTTGACAAGGCTCTAGAGCTATTTGAGGTCATGTTAGTGCACTACCCTCACAAGGAAGACTTTGGTAATTCTTTTAATGAGTATTTTGAGCAGCTTTGTGCCTGTGGGTTTACAAACTCTGCACGTGTTTTAGTCGAGACACTTGAAAACCGTGGCTACAACCCTGATGACATGTCTTATGGCCATCTTATCAGTGTCCTCTGTAAAGAGAAGAAATTTTCTGAAGCTTTTTTGATATCTGAAACTATGCTTGCTAAGAATTTCACTCTGCCCTTGGATGTATGTAATGTTTTAATTCCATGGCTATGCAGGACTGGTAAAATCGAGAAAGCTGTCTTTTTGAAAGATAGTGTCTCAAGAAAACAACCTTCTGCTTTGTTTTATCTGCACTGTGCTTTATTGCATGGTTTTTGCCAGTCTGGGATGGTAGATGAAGCATCAAACCTCTACCAAGAGATACATAGACATAGGCTGTCCTTTGACATGGAAGCCTATAATCCTCTAGTTCAGGGGTACTCTAAAGCTAAAAACTTCAAGAAAATCAGAGAGCTATTTGGTGTCATGATCCGTAAAAACTTGGATCTTACACTTGCAAGCTATCGAAGTTTAATGAGCCTTATGTTTGCAGAAGGCAAGCTCTGTCTTGCACTGAGCTTGAAAATGGTTATGATTAAGCAAAACAACCTCCCACACTCAGTGATATATAGTATACTGATTTTTCACCTGTTTTCAGTGAAAAAAACTTCAGTTGTAAATACACTTGTGCATGAAATGCAACCCCTTGAAGAAGTGACTTACAATTTTCTCATTCAGGGATTCTCCATGTGTAATGATGCAAAATGTTCATTTCAATATCTGAAAGACATGATGCAAAAAGATCTGAAGCCAAATAATCGCAGTCTTAGAGAGGTTATAAAATGCCTTAGCTGCAATGGGGAGCTAGAAAAAGCTCTTGACTTGAGCAAGGAAATGGAATTGAGAGGTTGGGCTCTTGGTTCACTTACTCAGTATGCTATGATTGAAGGCCTTCTTACGAATGGCAACTTCAGTGAAGCCATAGAGTTGTTGGACCGTATAGCACAAAAAGACTTAATCCCATCCAACATAAACTATGATGTTCTTATTAAGCGGTTTTGTCAGCATGCAGAAGTATACAAAGCAGTAGATCTTCTGAACATAATGTTAAGGAAAGGGAATGACCCAGACACTGCCAGTTTTGATTATGTTATTCAGAGTTTCTGTTCTTGTAACATTTTGGATCAAGCTCTGGACTTTCATGCTGAGATGTTATGCAGGAACCTAATACCAAACAGCAACACTTGGAACAAACTTACCCATAGCTTATGCAATGGAGGACGAGTTGCGGAGGCAGAAATGTTAATCCATTCCATAGTTCAGATTAGCGAGACCCCAAGCAGGGAAATGTATTGTGCGGTAGTTAATGCGTACCGGTTTGGGAACAATTTTATCAAAGCATCCCAGGTCTTACACAAAATGCAACAAAATGGGTATGAGCCTGACTTTGACACTCACTGGGCTCTAATAAGCAATTTGAGCAATTCCCGTAATGAAAATACTGGTCAAAGCAAATCTGGAGGATTTTTATCAAGATTTCTTTCTGAAGTTGGTTTTTCTCGGGAGATTCCAAATGCCAAGAAGGGGTGACATAGTGTATGTTTTTTGCACTTAAACTTTTGGAATTTGTAATTTTTTCTTTTCAATGTGCCATACTGCATTGTTTAGTAGAAACTGGATTAATTCAATATGGTGATTAACAAGTTTTGTATTTCATAGAGATTGTGATTTGAGTTTTCTCGCACTTAAAATAGATCGTAATATAGTGGTGTAAGTACGAGTATCGTCTCCACAGGGACGGACAAAAGGGAATCAAGAATTAATTAAATTCAGCGATTAAAAAGAAAATAAAATAAAAGCGTCGTGCGAGATTGGTTGGTTTGGAAAATAAAACTAATGCGAACAATTAAATTAGGGGGTTCTTTCTAATTAATGACGAAAGGAATAGGGATCGATTCCGGGGTAACCAAATTTCTGGCAGATCAGGCCTAATTACATGAAATTAATTTAATTGAGCCTAGCTAATCATTACTAAGTTCTTACCGCTCTCGCGGCGTAGAGTACAATAATTTAGGGGACCAGACTGATCTCTCATGCGACAAGATCCTAAATTATTGCCAAGACGAGCGAGCTTACGGCCCCTTAATCGCTACTAATCTCTTAGTGAACGATTAAGTGTGTGTGAATGTGTCCTAGAACAAATTAGATCTCTCTTAATTTATTCTACATGCAATTGTAATTCTAGTCGCGATTCTAGGTTACAAAAGATATCAATTAAATTATTCAAACACAAATTAAACGGCATTCATGCAATTAAACCGAAAATAATCTAGCCATACATCATGATTAACCCCTTCATCAATCCCAAATCCCTAATTAAAACTACTCACAATTCATAATTGAAGAATCAATAGAATTGGAATAAAAAGAATTAATTGTCATTAATTAAAAAGATGGAACTTACAAAGAATACCAAAAGATTGATGAACAAGGCTGAAAAACTCTCTAAAATTCGTGCTAGGCACTCTCTCTAAGCTCCCCCCTTGAAAACGGGGGTTTACAGGCTGTTTAAATAGAAAAATCGGGTGAAATTTGAGCTGAATTAGGATTTTCGGAGCCAGACACGATGTCAGGCACGATCGTGCCTTCGATCGTGCCTCCGGAGCAAAAACGCGCATTTTGGGCAGGCACGATCGTGCCTCCCTCTAGGCACGATCGTGCCTGGCAGGCAGTAGCTCCGCGGTGCTTTTCTCTTCAGGCACGATCGTGTCTGACTTTGAGGGCACGATCATGCCTACTTAACTTCCGAATTTGACAAAACTTCCTTCATGAAAGTTTTAGATAATGAAGTCCTCTATCCACCCCAATTTGCCGAATGTGATTTGAATCATCCAATCAAGAGATATGATCAAAACGGTGGAAGGTGTCTTTCTGAAATCGCAGCAGAGATCATCTGTCTTCATCGTCTTTTTTCACCTTCTTCCTCTCCGATTCTCGCAAAGGTGTCTTCATATGATTTGTAGCCCTTGAAGTTGGCTTTCCTATGGAACTTGAATCGTGTACATTGGATGTTTCTACAAGGAGATATGCTTGAACGATTGACAGAAGGTCATCCTGATCGTCGTTTTCAAGCTTCATTCATCTTCTTTTGACCCCGTAGCCAATCCTAGAGCTCTTTTTCCTTCAAATCTTCATCGTGAATCTTCCGGAGACCTCCAAAGCTATCAAATCATTCTCAAATGCTTCTCAAATCATCCCGATTGTTCCTCAAGTGCCGGTACCCCGGGCTCAAATTCCCTAATTTTGACTATAAACAACACAAAACTCGAACCAACGCCCGGTAAACATAACTTGAGCTAAAATTGAGACTTGCAACACCTTAAAGCTAGGGAAAACCATCAAAACCGATCCCAACACGCATCAAATACGTGTCAAAATACGGACTTATCAGATTGGTAGGCCATTGAAATGGCACAATTCCTCATATCTTCTAATATATATAAAGAGCGAATGGCTTTGAGCATGGCCTTTTTGCCGTTGAAATAACCCTCCATTTGCTCTCTCCCGTTTGCTGATGAGCTGCTCAATTTCTGGGGAATTCTTGAACTTTTAAATTTCTAGGGAAGGACAAATATGGAGGGAAAGTGGAGGTTTTGGGTAGGGGTTACTATTATTTTCATTGTCAAATTTGGAATTCTTGGACTTTCAAATAAGCTAAAAAAATATTTGGTAAAAAACCACCCACCAAATCATTCCCTGACAATCTACGATTGTATTGTAAAGCACATTATGGTGTTCATATGCTATATGTTTGGGTTTCCTTTCATATCTGATTTTTGTGTTGATTTGAGATAATAAATAACTTTAATTTTTTAGCTCAGCTAATCTTGAATCTTAAATATATGCCTGGTTTGTTAAAAAATTCTTTCCTTTCAGGTATGTTTGAAATTCATTATCATGTCTTACTTTGAGTTCTAGCTTTTATTTTCTAGAAAAGAGAAGCTTGAACTGACTTGGGAAGAGGGAAACAGAATGGTTGAGAGTTGAGACCCTTGATACCCCCAATGTCACATACCTTTGTGTGGCTGGAGCCTGGATGCCCTGGATGGGAAACATAATAAAGGAGAATGTGCTGTGGTGGGTGTTTGCATGATTGGTGGTAGGTACAGTGCTCATTTCTCGAAAATGTAATATATTAAAGCTTTCAGACATGCAGGGACTGGTTTAGGTGTCAAAGTGACCAGTGGAGTAACGCACTTTTAACATTATGGATGGAAAGGGGTAAGCAATTGGATGAAAATGTGTTTAAAGCATTTTTTTTAGTTGGATGGCAATTTCTGCCATTGCACTGTTTCTCATTCCTGTTTTTGTTTTACTTTTGGGAGATAATAACTTTGACATTGTTTTTTATCTGCATTGAAATTGTACTCCAGGATAAATGTTTTGTAGTGTTTAGAGAGTTCTACCAAACAAAAACAAAGCACATGAAGCTTATATAGATATACTCACTGGGTTGTAACATAAGCAGACACTTTGAGCAGAAAACCATAGTGTTGATTGTGACTAATTTCCAGGTTCTTAAAGAGTGCATACTTTCATAAATTTATTTAACCTTTATGAATGCAAATTATCAGGAGTCCATAAACAATTAATATTAGTGAGCTGAATATACCATATCAGTTGGGAGGTATTTTGTTTCACATTACAGGTATAGGTGTATATATTATGATCAAAGAATTGAGAATTTATGGTAAGTCATTATGTGAGCCTAATAAAATAAGTCAATGTATGATGCTTTGGGTTTGATATGGACGATTTTAGTATGGGAAAGTGTTTTTAGCCCATGTTCCTTTTTTATTCAAGTAAAAAAACTTCTCAAATTTGAATCACTCCATTTTTACACAATTTTCTAGCAGAGTGATCACTAAAGCTTGATCACTAACTGCAGTTTGATAGACTATATAATCTGCCATTGATTGTATCTTTCCTTTCACTATTACACTTCTAAAGTGATAGATTGATAAAATTTCCTTAGATGTCTGCTTGAAGATACCTTCAGATGACTTTCGATGAGATTCAATTTCAAAACTAACTAGAAAACTAACCAAAATACATGTATGGCAACCTAATATTGATAAGTATAAATAAGTCATCCGATCACATATCACCTGTTCTGACATGTATATATGCGATGAATTTCGAGGAGTGGATGTAATTTTCAATATGTTTTTTTATGTTTAAACCAAATATAAAGATAACTCCTTGAAAGATATGATGTGTACATTGACAAGTATCTGTTCGTGAAGATACCTTTAGACAGTAAAAAAAACTTAAGTGAACCCCACAAAAGTTAGCTAAATACTTTTTCCTAACAATGAATTTCAACGTCATTAAAATATATTCTACCACATGTTTTTTAACAAAAAAACACATGTTTTTAGGCTCCTTTAGACACTAACCCAAATATGTTCGGTTTACACCAAACATCTCTATATCTGGTTTAACTCACAGAGATTGCAGTTTTTGAGATTTAATATCAATTTTTATTTACATCAAAAGTTCAAAGTTTATTTTGTAATCTTAGAATAATGAAGTACCTAAGAGGATATACAGTTCTCACATATCATGTTTGATAAACTATGCATCTCCCCATGTTTGCTCCAATTACTTTTTTAAATGCAACTAGTTTTGTATGTAAGATAAGATACTATAACATATAGTACATTGTAACAACAATATAACAACAAGGTCACCACTGATTACATATATGTGTGTAGTCATTCTTTTGTCCTATCACCACAGTTTCTACACACAACTCAACAAGATGTTGAGACCTCCTCCCTCACACCAACACATTAAAAGCAGTAAACAATAAATTTCACACTTCATTTAATACTTTTGAAGATCCTTCCTATATATATTCTTCACCAATCACCATCATCACATTCATCTCACAACCTGCTGGCTGCTGCAAAGGAGGAGAAGGATAGAGATCCTTGCAAGCATTCTTCATCATATTATCTGCTCCAGCACTTCTTCTCATTGTCAATGACCCATGGCGGCGAAGAGGGATTGATTTACCCTGACAGGGTTGTAAATCCTGTGATGAATGTCTCTGCATGTTGCTGTTGTTATTATCATCACCATATTGAGATGGAGAGGAATTATATGTTCTTCTGCTGAAGCTTGTTCTGTTTTGCCTTAATGAACTCAGTTAGTGTCATGTAGTTTGGTATGTTGTTACTCGGCAGCACCTGTTCTTCGGGCAGTGAAGACGACATCGGTGAATGACTGGTGCTGTCATTGTTATACAACTGATGCCAGGATGGTGATGATGATGAACACAGCTGATCAGATGGAGGGATTGCTTCTTTTGCTGCTGAAATCCTGGTAGACATGTTGTTTCTCCTTGTTGAAATATAACACATAAACTAAGAAATAATATTGGAGAGGAAAGGATTTTCTGTATATTTCATTGAAGGGTAAGGCCCTATAAATATAGATTACAAAGATAGAATATTCCTATACAAGATGCTATACAATAATACTATATATGGTATATTCCTAATATATTCTAAAGCATATTCTAAAGTATATTTTAATATACTTTCACACTCCCCCTCAAGTTGGAGCATAGATATTTATCATGCCCAACTTGTTACATAAATAACCAACTCGAATTCCATTTAGTGCTTTAGTGAACAGATCTCCAAGTTGTTCCCCAGTCTTCACATATCCTGTAGAGATCAATCCTTTTTGTATCTTCTCTCGAATAAAATGACAATCGACCTCAATATGTTTTGTTCTCTCATGAAATACAGGATTGTTTGCTATGTGTATAGCAGCTTGGTTATCACACCACAATTTAGCAGGCATTGATGTCTTCAGTCCGAGCTCGGTCAATAAATGGCTTATCCATATGATCTCACATGTAGATTGTGCCATAGCTCGATATTCTGATTCGGCACTCGAACGAGAAACCACATTCTGCTTCTTACTCTTCCAAGATACAAGATTACCACCAACAAAGATACAATAACCAGATGTAGATCTTCGATCATCTTTAGAACCGGCCCAATCAGCATCTGCAAAACATTCTATTCTCATGTGATCATGGTTTTGATAAACAATACCTCGTCCTGGTGCACCCTTTAAGTAACATAATATGTGTTCTACTGCAGCCCAATGATCAATGGTTGGAGATGACATGTATTGACTCACTACACTCACAGAATAGGCAATATCTGGACGAGTGACTGCGAGATAATTAAGCTTTCCAACCAGTCTTCTATATCTTTCTGGGTCTTCAAACGGTGTGCCTTCTTGAGTGAGTTGCACGTTGGGAACCATCGGTGTTGTACTTGGTTTTGCCCCTAATTTACCTGTCTCAGCTAGTAAGTCAAGTACATATTTACGTTGAGATAGAAATATGCCTTTCTTACTTCGTGTTACCTCAATTCCCAAAAAGTATTTCAAAGAGCCAAGATCCTTCGTCTGGAATTGACTATGCAGAAAATTCTTAAGGGCCAAAATACCTGCATTATCACTCCCTGTAATCACAATATCATCAACATACACCACAAGCAACGTGACACCTGATTCTGTTTGTTTGTAAAAGACAGAGTGATCTGATTTGCCTTTTATCATTCCAAATTGTTCAATTGATTGACTGAATTTCCCAAACCATGCACGAGGACTCTGTTTCAGACCATAAAGAGATTTGCGAAGTCGACAAACTTTACCATACTCCCCCTGAGCAACAAATCTCGGAGGTTGCTCAATATAGACTTCTTCCTTAAGGTCACCATGCAAAAATGCATTTTTAATGTCCAACTGATGTAAGTGCCAATCATGAGTTGCAGCGAGTGAAATAAGTAACCTGACAGATGTTAATTTAGCAACAGGAGAAAAAGTGTCAGAATAATCAACACCATAGGTTTGAGCATAACCCTTCGCAACTAATCGGGCTTTCAACCGAGCAACAGATCCGTCTGGGTTAACCTTAATAGCAAAGACCCACTTACATCCAATAGATTTCTTCCCTGTAGGCAAGTCAACCAAATCCCAAGTACCATTAAGATCTAAAGCATTCATTTCCTCTACCATGGCATGACGCCATTCAGGATGAGACAAAGCTTCTTTTACAGATTTGGGAACAGAAATAGAATCAATGGAAGCAATAAAAGAACATGAAGCAGGAGATAACTGATTGTACGACACAAATGAAGAAATAGGATGAGTACAAGACCGTGTACCTTTACGTAGTGCGATTGGGAGGTCAAGATCTGATGTGGAGACAAGATCTGAGGATGCAGGTACTGGTTCAGAACATGAGATCAGAGTCGAACTAGTATCAGGATAAGTAATCACAGGTATCGCCGGTGGAGGGTGATCAGGTGCTTTGTGTCGACGGGTGTACCAAATGTACGGGAGGCCTAGGGTCAGGAACAGTAACTTGTGGAATATTTGTCGAAAGTGTGGACTCGGGAATAGTCATCGTGTAAATGAGTATATCATCATTGCTCTCATGAATATCTGCCTTAGATGATGAAAAAGGTGTATTTTCATGAAATGATGCATCAATAGAAACAAGATACCGACCAGTACTCGGACAAAAACATCTATACCCCTTTTGGACTCGAGAATATCCCAAGAAAATACATTTTAATGATTTGGGATCTAACTTTGTAAGATGAGGATTAACATCTCTAACAAAACAAGTGCAACCAAATATTTTAGGTGGGATAGGAAAAAGCTCTTTGTTTGGAAATAGACAATGATAAGGAGCTTTACCATTCAAAACAGAAGATGGCATTCGATTTATCAAAAAACATGCAGTAGACACGGCATCTGCCCAAAACTGTTTAGGCACATTCATTTGGAATAGAAGAGCCCTTGCAGTTTCTAACAGATGTCGGTTCTTTCGTTCTGCAACTCCATTTTGAGGAGGTGTGTCAACGCATGAAGTTTGATGAATAATGCCATGTTGAAGCATAAATGACTTAAATGTAGCAGATAGATATTCTTGGGCATTGTCTCCTCTTAACACCCGAACAGGAACGTTAAACTGAGTTTTAATTTCAGCATAAAAGGAAGAAAAATGAGTGAACAACTCAGATCGACGTTTCATGAAATACAACCATGTCATACGAGAATAGTCATCAACAAAGGTAACAAAATATTTAAAACCAGCTTTAGACACAACCGGGCAAGCACCCCAAACATCAGAGTGAACAAGGTCAAATGGAGCATTTGCTCGTTTATTAACTCGAGGGCTCAAGCTAGTACGATGGTGTTTCGCAAATTGACATGACTCACATTGTAAAGAGGTCATCTTATTAAATTGGGGATTTATTTGCTTCATTAATGGGAGAGATGGATGTCCTAATCGGTAATGAGCATCTAACAAAGTCCCAACCCCAAGACAAGAGATACCTTTTGTGATTGATGTATCCAAAATATAAAGACCAGCTGACTCATGTCCTTTACCAATAGTCTGCTTCGTTAACAGATCCTGAAACACACAATATCCAGGAAAAAATGTTACAGAACAATTAAGAGTACGCGTGATTTTACTGATGGAAAGCAGATTAAATGCAAAATTAGGAAGACTCAAAACAGGCGATAATGGTAATGTAGAAGTTGGAACAACAGTACCAGATCCAAGAACGGGTGAGGTAGATCCATCAGCTAAAGTGACACTAGAAGTAGGTAAATATGAATGGAATGACGAAAATAGACTAGGATTACCGGTCATATGATCTGTGGCACCTGAGTCAATGACCCATTTCGAGGATGACGAAACAAGACATGTGTTTGAAATACCTGAATTCGCGGCTACCGAGATAGGGACGGATGAATGCTTTAGAGATTCTTGGTAGCAAATAAATTTGGCATATTCATCCGAAGAAATAGCAACTGATCCATCAGATGAGGTGGTAGCGGAAGCAACATGAGCAATCAAATTTCCTTGATTTTTGAATGCCAACTTTCTACAATCTTTGAGCAAGTGTCCGGACTTCTTGCAGTAATTGCAAATTACTCCTCTGTCAAATTGACCTGTACGAAACATTTTTTTTTCTTTTTTGTTCTTTTTTTTTTTTGTATTTTTTTTTTCTTTTTTTCTTTTCTTTTCTTTTTTTTTTTAAAAAAAAAATAAAATCAAATCTGAGTTTGCGTTGACTTTTACGCAACAAAGCTATCGAGGTAGGAACAATTCAGTCGATGCCAGCGACCCAGCGACCCTTAACAGATGTGCTGATGATGTGAATAATCCGCCCCAGATCCAGCGACAACGAAACTTCAGTCGATGCCACCCAGCGAACAATTCAGTCGATGCCAGCGACCAACACCAACGCAAAACTTCGTCCCACAAATATTCCGCCCCTTTCTGAAGAAGGAATGAGAGAGAAGTAAGGTCTACCTGGTGGTACTGGTGGTAGAGGATCTCAGGCGAGTCTCAGGAAAAATTCCGATCAAATCTCCGGCCAGCAACTACAGCTACGCGTCGGCGCGTGCGGCGGCGCGTGCGGCGGCGGTGAGCACCTCCGGAGGCGAGTATGACTCACGGCCGTTGATTTGGAACTGCGGACTTTGAACACCTGGGCGTAGATGGCGGGCGCACCAGAATAGAGGTGAGATATTTGAGCTATACCAAGGTTCTCAAAGGTTCTGAATAGAGGTTCTGGTTTGTAGAGGATCTGTACTGAGTGATTTTCTAGAAGACAGAATGGTGCCTAGAGGTTCTGGAGAAAATTTCTGGGGAAAAGTTCTGGGAAGAGGTTCTGGGAAGAGGTTCTGGGAATAGGTTCTGGACTGAAATCAGCTCTTGGAGAAAGGAACCCAGTCTGAAAACTACTGAGATATGAATAACTGAACTGAAATCTGAAAAGAAAAACTAAATTGAGATGGCTTTGATACCATGTTGAAATATAACACATAAACTAAGAAATAATATTGGAGAGGAAAGGATTTTCTGTATATTTCATTGAAGGGTAAGGCCCTATAAATATAGATTACAAAGATAGAATATTCCTATACAAGATGCTATACAATAATACTATATATGGTATATTCCTAATATATTCTAAAGCATATTCTAAAGTATATTTTAATATACTTTCACACTCCTGAATTTGACAGAAGAGCTATTAGTATGTTCTTTTATTTGTAATCTGCCATTGATTGTATATTTCCTTTCAGTGCTACATTTCTGAAATGATAGAAATGATAAAAATTCCGTTTAGATGTCTGCTTAAAGATACCTTCAGATGACTTTCGATGAGATTCAATTTCAAAACTAACTAGAAAACTTAGCAAAGTACATGTATGGCAACCTAATATTTATTTTTTAAGCTTAAATAAGTCAACAGATCTTTCCGTCATTTGCAATGGAGTCAAAGATTCATTATTTTTTGGCTTGAGAATATTATGGAATAAAGCAAAATGGCTCACTAAACTGTCTGCGTTTCTTTGTTATGAAGCAGCAGTCAGTCCATGCAATTTTGGACGCAATTTTCACTATGGGCCATCCGGAAACAGTCTCTCTGTGCTTTAGTACAAGGGTAAGACTGCGTACATCCGACCCCCCCCCCCCTTACCCCACTGTAGGTGGGAGCCTTTGCGGCACTGGGGTAAGTCATCAGATCTCACATCACCTGTTCTGACATATATATGTGATGCTTTCGAGGATTGGATGTAAATCTCAATATGTTTTTTTAAGTTTGAACCAACTATAGAGATCACTCCTTGAAAGATAAGATATGTACATTGACAGGTATCTGTTCATGAAGATACCTTCAGAAAGTTAAAAAAAAAAAACTTAAGTGAACCCAACAAAATTTAGCTAATTACTTTTTCCTGACATTGAAATTTCACCTGAATTTTTTTCAATGTTATTAAACTGTATTCTATCACACGTTTTTTAGGCTCCTTTAGACAATAATCCAAATATGTTCGGTTTACACCAAACATCTCTATATTTGGTTTAAATCACGGAGATGTCGGTTTTTGAGATTTAATATCAATTTGACAATTTCATTTGCTTCAAAAGTTCGAAGTTTATTTTGTAATCTTAAAACAGAACAGAGTACTTAAGAGGATATACAATTCTCACATATCATGTTTGATAGTTATGCATGTGCCCATGTTTGCTCCAATTACTTTTTTTAAATACAACCAGTTTCAGAATGTAAGATAAGATACTACTCCCTCCGTCCCCCTAATATTGGGACAGAAGAGAGTGGTGTAGTTTAAAAAAAGTAGAATTATGTGGTTGATAATGAAATATGGTATGGGACAATAATAGGGGGGCATCCAAAAATTGAAAAATGGGATAATTATAGGGGGGCGGAGGGAGTATAACATAAAGTACATTGTAACAACAATATTACAACAAGATCACCACTGATTACATATGTGTATAGTCATTCTTTTGTCCTATCATCAGTTTCTAAACACAACACAACAAGATGTTGAGACCTCCTCCCTCACAACCTGCTGGCTGCTGCATAGGAGGAGGATAGAGATCCTTGCAAGCGTTCTTCATCATATTATTTGCACCAGCACTTGTCATTGTCAATGACCCATGGTGGTGAAGAAGATAGGAAATGCTGTGATGAATGTGTTTGCATGTTGGTGTTGTTATTATCATCATCATATTGAGGAATTATATGTTCATCTGCTGCAGCTTATTATGTTTTGCCTTAATGGACTCAGTCAGTGTCATGTAGTTTGGTGTGTTGTTACACGGAAGTTGCTCTTCTTGGGGTGATGAAGAAGACATCGGTGAATGGCTTGTGATGTCATTGTTATAAAACTGATGCCAGGATGGTGATGATGATGAACACAGATAATCAGATGGTGGGGTTGCTTCTTTTGCTGCTGAAATCCTGGTAGACATGTTGTTTCTCCTGATTCTGATAGAAGAGCTGTTAGTGTGTTGTTCAAGATTGGGTCCTCCTACTCCTCCAGGGGTGGTTATCATCATCCCACCAGATGATGAGTCAGTCTCTCCTCCTGCTGAGTTACTAAACTCCCAACGTTTGCTTGCGACCCAACGATCAAGCTAGCTATTTTCTCCTTCCGTCTCCCCTGCTGTCTTTATCTTTGTTGAACTCACCAGCTAATTTCTTGTGCCATAGGGCTTGAGCTTAGATTGGTTCTTGTCTGCAGTTTAAAATTAGCATAAGCAATGGCTCTCTCAGTCTCTCCCTCTTCATGGCACCTTCTTGCTTCATCAATCTACACCTTCTTCTACTGTTCCTGGGCTATTACTCCATTCTCAGGAGCTTGTTTGATCGGATCAATCATCTCAGGAACTCAGAAGAAGGAGCTCTAACTCGTGCTTGAACTCGAACAAGAGCCTGCGTGCACCTTGATGTCACTGCAGCTTGCTTTTTTACCCGTTGACCACAAATTATATTGCCTGTATCCTCACCACTCCTCTCAGCACCATCAATGCCCGTTTTGCCAAAAACTCCTCTCAGCACCATCAATGCCCGTTTTGCCAGAAAACCACGAAAAGAAGTCTGGATCCGAATCGCAACCCATTCCTGGTGCGCAGGCCTAACCTAAGTCACCATTGCGGCAGCCAAAGTGCTATCAGATACGAATGAAAAAATGGATCCTTCTGAATCTTTATGATACTTCTCAGATCTTCCAGCCCTAGACCCGCCCGGTCCAGTCCTCCACAGCTTCCAGATCCGCCTGATCATGTCCCTCTCTCCTTTGTGGTGGTGTTTTTGGAGTGAGATTTCTGATAAGCAATTTGATCCAATTTCCAGAAGCGCTCATGCTTTAACCCAACACAGATAATCTCTTTTAACAAACAAACAGAACCGTTTCTCCCTCCTTTTCTTCTTCTGTAAAATATATGATTTTTTTGTTGTTGATAGGATAAAGTAAAAGATATGATAATAATTAACTTTTACATGTCTGCTTGTATAAATTTTTACACCACTTTGATGAAAGTTAACAACATCACCGAACCTTTGTTCTGGCAGAGCAATCATTTAGTTTGTGTCAATCTACAATTTAAATGTGCTTCCTGTTTTTAGAAACATTTTATCACATTTTTAGTCTCCTTTTGATAAGTTTTTTATTTACTATTTATTTGTATTGAGTTCAAAATTTATTTTGTAATCTCACAAGTCACAATAGAACAAAGCACTTAAGAGGATATACAATTCTCACATATCGTGTTTGATATGTGAGAACTATGTAATCTGATGTTTATTGCATCTCTCCATATTTCACTACTATTACATGTCCAATTGCGTGAATTATTTTACCCCTTAGACAAAAGTTAAGAAGGGGAGTCTTGGCGCACCAGTTATGGTGTTGCTGTGCGACTGAGAGGTCATGGGTTCAAATTTTGGGAGCAACCTTTTGTCAAAATGATAAGGGAAGGCTTGCCCCTTATACACTCTTGTGGTGGGACTCTTCGCCGAACCCTCGCTTTCCGGGGACGCTAATGTGCACTGGGCTGCCCCTTTAGACAAAAGTTAAGAAACGCCTAGGTTCTGTCGAAAGCATTTAATTGGTGTCAATCTACAATTTACATATGTTCGGTACGTTCTTCAAAGTCAACCATCTATTCAATTTGGGGTAACTTTAAGCTATTACTGGCAGATGCCAAATGCCAAATTTTGACATACCAGACTCTAGACCAGGTTTAAAAAGTCAAATCTAAGTGATAACTTCTCATTAAAAGAGTGCATTAGCATACACCATCGCAACAAATGTGTTCTCATCTTTTAGTTGTTCATGCAGCGACAAAACAATGCTTGAAAAAGAGACTACTTGAGCAGCAAATGAGCAGCTCCCCAGTTTCCAGTGGAGCTGCTCCATTGTGATTAAAGTATTTGTACTGTTATCCGCAGAACAGTTATATTGCAACTAATTTCCCCAAGAAGTAAGAACTACTGGAATGAGTCTATTTTTAATGTGGTTTATATTGAATTATGCCTTATTAATAAACTATGTTTTTTATTCTTATGTAATCATCCAGTTTCTAGATCAGCCACTTGCTATAGCTGTGCCAACGTCAAAATACTTTCCACTTCAAAAGACATCAGATTTACTTCTTTTTCGGGTCAGACAAATGAATATTGCACAATTTTTTTTCTTTTAATATAGGTTTCATTGAAGGATACCACTAATCGCATGTCCAGTGGTTGTGCAGTCGGGTCTTTACAGCTTAGTGGATGGCATTATGACCCGAAACTATGGCACAGTTATTCGTGGATATGGAGTACGGAGTATTATTTTGTTCTCCACAACTACTCTAAGAAAATCACATGATCAATCTGCATAAAAGTATTATTACCATTAAGATCAAGAACTGTGATCTTTATTAAACGCAAGTTCATAACTGAAAATGAACTAATAAAATGAATTATTGACTAGCATCTTTTAGAAAATGATACCAAAATGTTGTGAAGCAAAAGTTTCTGTTGATTCAGTGTTTGGTTTTCAGGTTTGTTCATTTTCTCAGTTATTGCTCACCCTATGTCACACAATGTTGTGAAGCAATCAACCTGTGATCATTATTAGATCTTTTAATGTAATTTTTACATCCTCAAATAAAATCTGAAACCCCCATCTTTCTTCCTTTATTTACTAACAGATATACAAACCTCTTCTACAACTGTCAATCTACTCAGAATATTAGACTAATTGTCACATTAAATTCTTATTGAACTGCCCATATGAAATTATTGCAGCTCTGGATTCGTGGAGTATGAAGCTGTACATAAATATTCTGTGTTAGATGGACAATTTTTTTTGTATGTTGATGTGATTGACTTATTTCAGTGTTCGTAAAGGATGGAATAATGAAATAATATTAGATCTGCAAAAGTTTGTTATAGAGATGGTAACACTTTTGAAAGTTTTTTTTTGCATTTCTCAACTTATATGGGCATTTAATCAACTATTCACATTTTTGTTGTGTCCTTGCAGAGGTTTTTGTAGCTGAAACTGTTACGTAAGGAATTTATTTCGTGCTCGAATCAGGGAATTTGTTTTCCCACCACGGAGCTGAAATACTCAAATCTAATTTTATGCATTACAACATGAAAATGAAGTGAAGAAATAGATAGTTTTTTTTTGTGAAAGTCAGAAGTTTTAAGAGGTCTTTGGTCCTATTACTTCTTTCCCCTACACCCTTTTTTCTCTTATACTAACCACTACTAGAGTTATACTACTGTCCTTTGGTGTGACCCTTGTGGCCATCTATTCCGCTTCTCATTGTTATTCCATGTCAATTAATCTTATTTTACTCTAGAAATTGCTGGAAAACTAGAGAAAGGAAAAAAAGAAAAACGCGTTTACCAAATCGTTTTCCAAAACAGAAAAATGAGACATGTCTCTCTTTTCCTTAATGATTTGGAGAAATGACTTTTACTAGTTTTCCAAATTTGGAAAAAATAGATGTTACAGTGCCCCGCTGCAATGAATTTGCATACTTACACCTAGTGGTGGCCTGGTGGGTCTGGTCCCGCTCCGATGTAGATTCCATTCCGGTACTTCCATCCTCGTACCTTACCACTTACCCCTACCCTACCCACCCAACCCCACCCCTCGTACCCATTTTTCGGGTCAGACAAATGAATATTGCACAGTTTTTTTTCTTTTAATATAGGTTTCATTGAAGGATACCACTAATCGCATGTCCAGTGGTTGTGCAGTCGGGTCTTTATATTGAAGGAAAGGAATAAAATTTATTTAATACATAATATTGTAATTGATTAGTGAAGAACCGTTACATATATTTCTCATTTATGAGAGCTTTATTTCTTACCATATAGATATACTTAGTTGTAGTATAAATTGCAGCTCTTGTAATGTATTTTGTGTGCTGAATAATATTCAAAATCCTTCTCTTATCTCTGGTTCTATATGGTATCAGAGCCGTTGAGCTCTAACCAGCCCACCACCCTCTTCCTCATGACCACCGGTGACAATTCCAATCAGCCGGAAGTTCTCCTTCAGCAAGGAGACCCCAACACTACTGTTATCAGCCAGACTCCTCCCCTTTCTTCTTCTGTTACCGCACCCCTCACCCAAGATGGAGTAATAATTCTAAATCCCAGTCATTTTCCAGAAAAACTAGATGACTCCAATTACCTTGTTTGGCGTGACCAGATCTTGGACCTACTCTTCGGCTCTCAACTTGACCAGTATGTCGCAGATGTCGCAGATGGAGACAAGGTATGGGGAGTGGGGTCATTTTGGGTGGTAGTGGTGGTTGACTTACCAGGAGATTGTTCTTGAGCCGAGGTATGAGTAGGAGGAGACGCCTCAGTAACCATCGTACCAGAAATGGGAAGATAGGAAAGAGAAGGTTGAAGCCAAAGATCAACTTCAGTAGTGGTTGTAGAAAAAGGGAAGACGGACTCATCAAATACTACATGCCTACTAACAAAGACACGACTAGTAGCGAGATCAAGACAACGATAAGCACTTTGTTGGTCATAGTACCCGAGAAAAACACACGGTTTAGAGCGTGGTTCTAGCTTATGAGTGGTATAAGGATGTAACCACGGGAAACATTGGCACCCAAAAATGGCAAGTTTATTATAATGAGGAGGTTGTTGGAAGAGTTTTTCATATGGGGTGCAAAAGTTAAGAGAACGTGCAGGGTGTCTATTAATGAGATAAACTGCCGTAAGGAATGCATAGGTCCAATATTTAAGAGGCATGGACGCATGGTGAAGTAAGGTGATACCAGTTTCCACAATGTGACGATGCCGGCGTTCAGCAAAGCCATTGTGTTCTGGAGTGTGGGGAGGAGTAAGTAAGTGAGAAATGCCACATGTATGTAGAAATTTCCCTAAGGTAATGTATTCACCCCCTCCATCAGAGTAAATTGTTTTAATTGTACGTTGGAAAAAGTTTTCAACAATTTTTTTAAACTGCTGAAAAAGAGAAGTTACCTCAGATTTATGAGTCATAGGATAAAACCAAATATATTTGGTATAATGGTCAACAAAAATAGCATAGTAACGGAAGCCATCAACAGAGGTAACACGAGCTGGGCCCCAAACATCAGTACAAATTAAATCTAGAGGTCCCGAGCTTGTAAGAGACGAATGAGCAAATGGTAATTTATGACTTTTATTACTAGCACACGAGACACATAAAGAAAAATCAATTGCAACATTGGGAAAAGAAATACCTAGGAATAGAGAATTTTTTTAGTGATAGGGAGGGCAGGATGTCCTAAACGACAGTGCCATTTATTAAGGGAATTTTTTTGTGTGACGTGAACAGAAGGAGATGATGTAGGTGTGGCATCAGGCAAGCTGTAGATGTCTCCATTATTCATACCCCGTAACAAAATTGCTCCCGTTCGCCGATCCCTGATAAGACAAAAAGATGAATGAAATTCAATTAGTACGTCATTATCACGACATAATTTGGAGACAGAAATTAAATTGGTATGAATAGAAGGGACAAAAAGAGTATTAGTTAAGGAGAGGGAGTGAAGGGTCATATGCCCAACTTGTGCTATCGTAAGACCTTTACCGTTACCAATAATGAGAGAGTCAGTGCCAGTATAATCCGATGCCAAGGTAAGGTTGTTCAGGTTGTTGGTGACATGATTAGTTGCTCCAGAGTCAAGTAACCAGCCATTGTAATTAGTGACAGCTGTGTTAACTTGAGGAGGATAAGCCTGTTGTTCAAACCGATGCCAACAATTAAGGGCAGAATGGTTTGGTTTTCCACAAATCTGACACATAATATTTACCCCGATGGTGGGATTACCATTCCCGGGGTTATTTCGGCCTGTGGGACCCCCGAAATTATTATTGCCACGTCGGTTGGGCTGATTGTGATTATTGGAGCGCTGGTTCCTGGGCTGATTCTGATTAGAGGTTCTAGGTGGATAACTTGGGCGGGTGGGCTGGTTGTAAACTGGAGCAGATGGTCCAGGGCCCAATATAGACCCTGTATTTGACGGGGCTGGGCTTCTGCGAGTTGCAAGCGCCATCGGCTCCCCTGTAGCAGCGACGTTGGCGGTCACCACAAGAACCGATGATTCCACGGTCTCCTTCCGCCTCAGAGTAGCTTCGAAGCCCGTGAGCAGAGTATAGATAGCACCGAAGCTATTGTCTCCACAGGTGCGAATGGAATTCGCAAACGATTGGAGCTCAGGGCTAAGTCCTTCCAAGGCTTGAATGACGAAATCTTCGTCATCTACAGGACGGCCAGCCCGTGCGAGTTCGTCGGCGAGAGATTTGAGATGATGGAGATACTCTCCTACCGGTTGGGATCCCTGTCGTGTGTGGCGGAAAATGTCCTTCTTGTTGCGGATTTGAGATGCGGTTCGGGTCCCGTAAAGTTGCTCGAGCGTCTTCCAAACTGCCGCAGATGTACGTGCTGATCCCACCAATGGCTTACACGCTGAACTCAGGGAGGCAATTAGGGCATGGCGGATGAGCCGATCCTGCCTAGTCCACCGGAGATGGCCTTCAGTATCACTTTGCGGCGGCGGGACAACGTCATCTGCGACATACTGGTCAAGTTGAGAGCCGAAGAGTAGGTCCAGGATCTGGTCACGCCAAACAAGGTAATTGGAGCCATCTAGTTTTTCTGGAAAATGACTGGGATATAGAATTATTACTCCATCTTGGGTGAGGGGTGCGGTAACAGAAGAAGAAGGGGGAGGAGTCTGGCTGATAACAGCAGTGTTGGGGTCTCCTTGCTGAAGGAGAACTTCCGGCTGACTGGAACTGTCACCGGTGGTCATGAGGAAGAGGGGGTGGGCTGGTTAGAACATTCTCCCGGTCCGTCACCCACTACTCACACCCAAAATGACCCCACCCCCCATAGACCCACACCACCACATGTTATTACTTATCAACGCCGTCCCAAACCACATCCTCCTGCTCCTACACCTCATTTACCTACCACTCCTGATAAACCTACCTCAACCCCCAAGCCGGATAACCCCATGCCCAAACGTACCCACCCCATGACCCTTCGACCTCGTAAACAAGCCAATATGGCCGCTCACACTCCTTTACCTCATCACATAATTCCCACTTGTGCTTCTCAAGCTATGCAGGTACCCGAATGGCGGGCGGCTATGTCAGTAGAATTTGATGTCTTGGTAAAACAGGGAACTTGGGACCTTGTTCCATCTCAGCCTGGCCAGAATATTGTGGGTTGCAAATGGGTATATACAATGAAGTATAAGCCGGATGGGTCCTTGGATCGCTACAAGGCCCGATTAGCGGCCAAGGGTTTTCATCAACGGCCCGGGATTGATTATTCTGACACTTTTAGTCCGGTCATAAAACCAGTCACTATTCGTGTTGTTTTGACTATTGCTCTTTCGCATGGCTGGCCGGTTCATCAATTGGACGTCAATAATGCCTTCTTACATGGCAATCTTCAGGAAGAGGTTTACATGAAGCAACCTCCTGGCTTCAATGATGGTTCTGGGTTTGTCTGTCGCCTACAGAAATCCATTTATGGCCTTAAACAGGCACCTCGGGTGTGGTATCAGTCTCTTAGTGGATTTCTTCTCTCACTCGGGTTTTATCAGTCTACTACTGATGCCAGTCTATTCATATTTTTTTCTCATGCCTCCTACATATATGTGTTGATTTATGTGGATGACATTATTGTTACTGGCTCTACACCGGCATTGATACGACAAACTATTGATTCCTTGGCCCACCAGTTCTCCATCAAGGATTTAGAAGTTTTGCATTATTTCTTGGGCATGCAGGTTACTCCTACACAGGACAGACTCTTTCTTGATCAACATTAATACATTATGGACTTATTAAAAATGTTGAACATGGATGGAGCTAATCCTGTGTCTACGCCGTTAGCATCTTCTGCCTCCTTAACTCTGTTTGACAGCTCTGGATCCTGTAATGTCACTCTCTATCGTCAAGTCATCGGGTCACTTCAATACCTGAATCTTACCCGACCAGACGCTGCTTTTGCCATTAACAAACTAGCTCAATTTATGCATAAACCGACGGTTAATCACTGGCAGCTTCTCAAACGTCTTTTACGCTATCTTCAAGGCACTGCCTCTCATGGACTTTTTCTTCGTCGGAGTATTTATCCCTTCTTATGTGCCTTTGCTGATGCTGATTGGGCAGGGAATTCTGATGACCGCTCCTCTACTAGTGCCTACGCCATCTTTCTTGGGGAATCTCTTATCTCTTGGAAATCAGTCAAACAACGTACTATTGCGAAGTCTTCCACGGAGGCCGAATATCGAGCTCTTTCTACGGC